TCAACACCTTGTGTGGTGAACGCGGCCGTGTGCTCGACCTGGTGCCCCAGCCTCTGCGCATGGTTCTCTTAGGGGCCGGGCGTGATTCCTGGCTTGGCCTGGACCGGCCCTCCTCCCCCTGGGTGGAGCGAAATGAAACCCCAATTCCAAACCCCGTGGGAGCATTCACACCAGGTAATTACTATATAACTTTTGGGGGGAACGTGCAGAAGTAAATTCTTAGAGACGTGGTTTGATATGGCTAACTAGTTATCAAGTAATAATACAGGTTAAATGTATTTCACATGTTAGCCAATACTTGTCTTTTCCTATCGTATCAGTGGTGTTTCAAGAAACAAGCTGTACAAATGAGAATTTGTTACCTGTTGAAGAAAAGGCTTCTAGAGTCTATTTGGATACACATTGCAGACAAATCGCGATCCCTTCAAAAAGTGGGAAAAATTATATAGGCTCTTGAATTGCTTTTTTTCTAGAATTTCTCAGACGTTCTGCAGGCAACTAATGTACACAGACAGTTCCTCTTAAGACCTCTATAAGAACTTATCAGAACCCTCAAATTCTGTAATTGCTAGAGCATCTCATACAAAGCAAAGGGGCTGTGACAGATTTAAAGAGTGACAAAAACAATCAACAGACAGGAATGATTTGTTTAGTTGATTGTACAACAGCCTAAGAAAAAGAAATCTAACAGTTTCAAGGAGTTTAATGAGATTAATGACTAATTAATAATGAAGGGCTGCAAGGTTTTTATTTCACGATTCTGTGCTCTAGCCCTCAATTCTTGGCATTAAAATTCATTAAGGAAAGTTGAGGTGAATCTTTTTTCCCCAATCATGCTTTGCTGTTAAGGAGCTTGGTGTCTATCCAGACACTGAAAAGACAAACATCCCTCAAAGTCAGCCTAGTATACTCTTATTAAGTGCTTTCCTTCACATATCAGGCAGCAAGCAAAAGCATGTGTTCTCATAAGTGGATCATCCTATAAGGAGAATTCTCATCACTGCTGTCTCTCCTTCTCCACTTTTAAAACTGTATCGGTATTTCCATCTCCTCAAATTCACAAAAATAAATAAATAAAGACAAAGTCAGAGGCAAAGATAAAATCAAAATGAGATACAGTGAGATGGCACATGCTTGTTTTTTTTATTGATATTCTCTTCTCAAAGCAACTTTCCAGACAGATGTAATCTAATGATCATATTACATGAAGGATGCGCTCATTTGTAATTGGATTAATCTAGTTGTTGGCATATTCAAGATTCTAGAATTCTTTGCCCTGAGAAAGAACTGCAGATATATTTAGGAATTTGCAAATGGCAAAGGGATCAATCCAAAGACTTAGACCAGCACATTTCTTTTAGTCCAATTCTATGATTCAGAGGTTAAAAAACACAAGCGACATAGAAGAAACTTCAGTTAAACAAGAGTAGATTATTTCACAAGTGGCTTGTCCTTGCTTGTGAAAAGGAACGGAAGCTGGTTTGAATTATAAGCCACGTTCAACAAACAAAGGAGATTTGAGGAGAGCTCTTATTTCCTCTTGTTTCATTACTGCTGTTCTCCAGAGTGTGCAGGGGCTTTAGAAGATGCCCGGCGTCTTACTGTTCTCACCAAGGAAGTGATGCTTCAGTTACAAAAAGCTATCAGAGAGGCACAAGACACCCGTAATACTGTGCACGAAGCCGTTGAGAACAGATTGCAAGGCAAGATGGAGGAGACTCTCAGTCATAAGGTAATGGGAGATAGCCTGCTGTAACATATGTGAAGTCAGTCAGACAATCCATCCATCCACTGATCTGTTCAAAAAGCAAGCAAATTCTGAGACAACGAATAGAATCTTAATAAAACTAAACAATTACAAAATGGAAGTGGTCTAACGTAAAGTCAGACTGCATACACACTGCTTTTGTCATATCCTGTTCCGTTGCCAATGAGCAGTATGTCATTAGGGTTTTGTCTTTCTCTAGAATAGAATCAAGAACGTGCGCTCTTCCCCCCCCCCCCCCCGATCCCTGTAATTTTCTGGAACTTGCCACCAAATAACACAGCATCATTTTTAGAATAATCTGCTGATGGGTAGAAAGAAGTCCAACTAGGCAGATTAAGCTTTGCCTTACCCACTGTCCAGTTCACACAGTGTGTTAAACAGACTGAGGACTGGATAGTTTGTGATTTACAGTCTCAAATGGCAATGGCCTGGCTGACCCCATACACTGAGCAGAGTTGTCTATAGTCAACATTTAAAAGGGGACTGAAAACTAGACCGGAAGGTTAAAGAAACATTTCTGAAGGAGACAGAAAAGGTAAATTCAGTTTACTTTTTCAGTCTGTGGTTTAGTTTGTTTGTTTATTTGTTATTTATCTGATTTACATGGCTGTCCATTTCACCAAAAGCAACTCTAGCTGTCATACAACAAAGTGGTTGTGAGGACCCAGTTATTGTTTTCCGTGCTGTATGACCCAGATCTTATTAAGACATATTTGCTCAGGCATCTTAAGCGAATGCCAAAGATATAGTTTTTTTAAATCCAGATTTAGAACTTAGTGTTATATTAATTGAACCCATCAGAATCTCTTTCATATCAGTTCTTAATGGAACTTAGGGGACTTCAACTCCCAATATTCCCCAGTCAATATGTTGCCAAGTTTGAAAAACACTGACCTATTCAGGTAGTCCTTGACTTACAACAGTTCGTTTAGTGACAGTTCAAAGTTACAACAGCTCTGGAAAAAGTGACATAACCATTTTTCACACCTCAGACAGTTGCAGCATCCCTATAGTCATGTGATCAAAATTCAGATGCTTCACAACTGGTTCATATTTATGACGGTTGCAGTGTCCCATGGTCACGTGATCACCTTTTGCAACCTTCTGACAAGCAAAGTCAATGGGGAAGCCAGATTCACTTAACAACCGTGTCCCTAACTTAATGACTGCAATGATTCACTTAACAACTGTGGCCAGGTCATAAAACGGGGCGATACTCACTTAACAAATGTCTCACTTAGTAACAGAAATGTTGGGCTCAGTGGTGGTCATAAGATTTCCTGTACTTTTAACAACAGACTGTCAACACTGCTAACATTGGATGTTCTTGCTTTGACAACATTGGAGATGCAGCCTTTTTCTTTCTTATGCTTTACTCTTAGAGTTAAATGATACTGGGGGAGGAGGAGGAATGTGATGGGAGTTAGTTAGACATAACAATATTGTAATACTGTGTGAACTCAGGCCTTTTGAAATAAGAGATAAGAAATGGCGGGTTGGAGAACAGGAGGGAAAGCCTGCATTTCAAACTAATTTGAGAATGTGATTTATGACTGTTAATTAGAGGAGGGAATTGTGTTTGATACTGTGTGCTAAGGGGAGGGGAATCCAGATTTTAGCTTCGCTTATGTATGTGCCCGTGCTATGCTGCTCTAATAAAGATTCTTTAAGGTAAACAATGCCTCAAAGTTCTTTGAAGAGTTTCATCTGTCGGAACCATGACACAGACTTTTTAACCCTGTCCTGTTCTTCTCAAACTTTGTATCTTAGACAAGTGATGCATACTACGAATACTCCCGATTCTAAACTAGGGCGCTTAAATAAGTTAGAATTAGATTTGGAAATTTAGCATGTCTGATCAGCCTGGTTCAATCATTCCTTTATTCCCTCTCACTGGCAGGAAAAATTAGACATAACCCTGGGAGGAACACGCAGCACTCTGCACCGCTGCCAACGTTTCCAGCACGAGATGCGTCTCACTCGTGGATTGACACTGGTGAGAAATTAAAGGCTGGGAGCCACCTGTGCTGTAATTCTCTCCCTTAGCCTGCCCCAACTCTGATTATTTATTTTATTTTATTTTTTTAACAATATTTTATTAAATTTTATAAAGTTAGGGGAAGGGAAGGATCAGTATAGGTAATGGGGTTCAGGGTGGGGTTCAGGAAAGGAGTTGGCATGGGGGTAGATACAACAATGGGGTTGTCCCCAATGACATTCCAAGCTTTAGCAAACAAACTGTCGTCCGGATATAAGTATTCAGTGGGAATAGTTAACACAATAATAAGTAACTGTAGTTAAAAAAAATAGCAATAATTATAAAACATGTCAGATAATCAATAAATATCAGTCATCTTGGCAAATTAAAGATAATGGAGGATTTGGACTCCCGGATTGGAGAATTTATTAACTCTGATTATTTATTTAAAACATTTATACAGCTGCCCATCTTTCAACCAACTCTGGGCAGCTCCCAATAAAAAAAAAATCATTGAAAATGATAAAACACAATATTTTAAAAAAAATATTTATATAGCTGGATGAGCTGGAGTTCGATTGGAAAAGAGTTGCTTTTCTATGCTTTGAATTTATATCCACAGGGCCCTGAGAGTATGAAGTACCTGGAGACACGAGAAAAGCTGACACGGCCAATGGTGCGGACATATCAGAGACACGTGGGAACACAGTTGCCTGAAGCTGCAGTCGTCACTCAGGTAAGGGGATATTATAGTCTTTGTGTAGGATGTATAATGCGGTCTTCCAGACCATGAATTTTGGCATGGGGAGAAAATAAAAGGAAGTTTCTCAAAACAGCAGTAAAGCCGTTTTTGGCAGGTGTGCTTAACTGTTCTACTTTGGTCAGTGGGACTTGCAGTGTTTGTGGCATAAAATGCTAAACTGAATTATCTGTGGGGTTCTTGGTACTCTCTTGGTGGTTTTCTTGCAGACATTTCATTACCCAACTAGGTAACATCATCACTGCTAGAAGGGAATGTGGTTTTGATCTCTGTTTATATATAAGTGGCTTGCTCTGTCACTGTTAGTGGGAGTATTTTATTTTATAGTTCCTTGATTGAAACACCTCCTCAACAGCAATCAGCACCCAGATAAGCAGAGATTAACACCAGACCAACAGTCAAGCAGCAAACAATATCCCAATTCAGGAACTGCCAACTTAAACAATCAAAGAGTAAACAACAGGGTAATCAAGGAATTACCAAGAATTAAACAATACTCCCACCAACACTGACAGGGCAAACCACTTATATATAAACAAAGAGCAAACCCCACTGCCTTCTAGCACTGATGGTATTACTTAGTCAGGTAATGAAATGTCTGCAAAAAAACAACCAAGCTCAGAGAACACCAAAGACCCGTCATAGTTCAACCCTGAGCTATAAATACTCTCTTCTAACAAATATTCTCTTCTATTGAATTAGCTGTACACCTCGTTATGATGCAAGTTAACTCTGTGGATACAAAATTTATTTGCAAATATGTCCTCTCAGGCTTGCAAACCCTTACTTACTTTTTCTTCTCTACTCTTGCTTTTTTTTTTTAACCAGTCCACTGCACAGATTGATCGCTTCATGGAAGATACGGCCATGAATATCCAACATCTAAAAGCCACTCAGAAGTACTTGCATGAATGCATTCACAACAAGCAGACAGGCTATGATGTTGACGGCAGCATTAAACGGCTGCGGCAGCGCCGTATGCATCCACGCACCAACATGAATGAGATTTTTCAACTGGTCTATACCTAGGAAGCCTGGCAAATTAATTAGTGCTAAAATAAAAGCTGGACCCTTATAGTAGTCAACTTCTTTCTAGTTAAGGAGGGAAAAATATTTGACGGGCTGTGATAATAGAATGGAATAGCAAATTCAAAATACTCTAACTAACAAAATTAAGTCAGATTCCTAAGACAAAAGGGGAATGTGACTGCTTAATGTAGAATGTGGTGTCGAAGTTATGGTAGTAGAGATTAAGGTAGTGGGAAGACTCAGGTTCAAATCCACCGTTAGCTACGGAAACTCACTGGGTGACTTTGGGCTATTCAGTCTCTCTCAGTTTAACTTATCTCACAGGACAGCTGTGAGAACATCTGGAGGAGGAAGCACTGTGTATGCTATCTAGCTCCTGCAACAGAAGCAGGAGATAAATCAGTAAAAACAAAGGTCACTGTTTTCTCCTATTGTAAACCTAATTACTAAATCCAAATTTGTGTATAGTAGCACAACTTTTGTGCTAAATACTGGGCACACAATACACAGAATTAGAGAACCGGAAGGGACCATTTAAAGTCAACATATTGCGTTTGAGGTTCTTAATACTCTCCTACAATTTCTTCTAATTTAGAAATTACTTTTGATTTTCTGGAAAAAGAAAAAGAAAAAATAGAGATCCAAGCCCACCAGTGGGATATCTTCTTTTTAATAGGTGTATTCTTGTATTCATTATACCATACTTAAGACATATAAGGTATTAACTCTCCCTGGATATTGTAATCTGTGACTTCAGAATCTTTTCTCCACTGAGTGGAGGTTCTTTGACCTCCACTCAGTGGAGGTTCTTTGACCTCTTATATTGCAGCCCCACCACATCAAACCGTCCTGTTAATTTTTATTTATTTATATCTTACCTTTATTGTTTTGTTTTATAACCAACTCAAAGCAGCAAACATACCCAATACTCCTTCCTCCTCCTATTTTCCTCACAACAAAAACAACCCCATGAAATGAGTTGGGATGAGAGAGAGGGACTGGCCCAAGGTCACCCAGTTGGCTTTCACGCCTAAGTTAGGTTTCCAAGTTTCTAGCCTGGTGCCTTAACCACTATATCAAACAGTCTTGAGGACATTTTAGACACCATAAAATTACTAAACCTTTATTATTATTATTTTTATATGATCTGTATTATCTATTCGAGCCTAGTATCCACAGAACTAGCACATTAGATTTTTCAGCAAGACCTCTCAACCAGCTGCCCTGGACCTGTTTTTAATATACACAGTACCAGAGAGCAACCATTATGCTGCTTGCCAGGAGGCAGGTGCTACACGACCACGTTGGTCCTCATTGGAATTTCTCAGTAGTTAGATAGCTATGTGTTATTCTATGGGATTTAAATCTCCTACCAGAAATTGAACTCATGAAGTTTTACACTTCAGATGACTACATACAATGCATTAGTTTTTAGGAGCAGGGAAGAATACATTTGGAAGCTATCAGAATGCACCTCCAGTGCACCTTCCCTTAAACCTTCAGAGCAGAGAAATACTGATGTGAAATTGTTTTGTCTCTGTATATGGTGATTTTTACATTATTCCAATAGCTACAATTGTTTCTATAATGCCTCTGCTATTGCAATAATCTGAGTTACTGCAATAAATTATATGATGGTGATTTAGTATTGCCAGGTTTTATTGGGAGAACTGTGTGAACTCTGGGGACAATCTGTACACAATTTTAAGCTTTTAAAGCCTAAAGTTGATTAAGATGTTGGGACTACTCATATCAAATAGTTCTTCAGCATTAATTTTTGTGAAGAAGAAGGAACTAAAGCAGATGTTATTTATACAAGTACCACTTGGAGATTCTCTCACAAAAGGGTTAAAGGAGCAGAGTCATTCAGTTCTTTTCTCTGGAGAAGTCCTCCAACTCTTCTCACTGTCGCTCATGCCTTTGTGACCTCTCGTCTGGATTACTGCAGTGCACTCTATACGAGGCTCCCCTTGAAGAGCATATGGAATTCAGCTGCACAGGTAGTAAATGATGTTGATTATTTGGCACATTCAACACCAGTACTCCATGTTGCAGTAGTTGCCACGGTGCTTTGGGGTGCAATTCAAGGTGCAGGTTGTCATCTTTAAAGTTCTTTATGGCTTCTGACTGGGTTACCTGGGGGACTGTCTTTTTTCAGTTGTTTCTACCTAACCAATCTTGTCTGGCAGGATAGATTGTCTGGGTCCTGTCAGCCAGGAAATGGCAGTTGCTAGGGCCCAGGAAATGTGCCTTTTCTGCAGTAGCACTTGCCCGATGGAACATCCTCCCTCTGGAGATCATGATAGCCCTGACCTGCTGGCCTTTCATAAGCGCTAAAAATTTGGTTGTGTGTCCAGGCACAGGGCCCCAACATGACAAGTGTCCCATCTCCTGGCTGTGACAACAACCATGGATTATAACATCATCTTCAACTACTGTATATAGTTTAATTTTTGCAATGTGATGGTAACTTGTTATTTGATTGTTCACTGCCCAGAATCACTCGTAATGAGATCGGGGACATATAGTTTGAATGAATGAACGTGGAAAGTAAAGGCAGTTTTACCTCCACTTAAACAGATTATGCTTCACCTAGTCTGAGCAAAGAAAGCGATGGAAGCTGATCAAAATACGCCTGCACAAAAGAGATTTTAATATGCAAGGTCTCTCTTGCCAATAGTTATATATATATAAAAAAGAGTCATGGGGACATTAGGGCCCCCAGATCCGAGTTCAAAAATCCGGGCGAGATGCAGCCCATTTTCTCTTGATTCCACCTACTGGGCATCCGGAGTTTTGCGACCCAGATCGGGTAGTTGACTTACCCAGCAGTTCAGCTACAAAGACATAAAACTGATGCCCGGGAAAGACTGATGGCGAAAAGCAAACTGCCATCATCATCAATCATCATCATCATCATATACAGCAATGTTACAAAAAACTGCGCTACTCGGAACATCTTATATTTTAAGGCGGTACCTGGTTGACATCTAGGATGCTGATAGCAACCCGTGTCAGCCATCAGCGCCAGCCAATTTGAATGTTCAGTTGACTGAGGTTTAGGTCTAATAATGCAGTGTTTCTCAACCTTGACAATTTTAAGGCATGTGGACTTCAACTCCCAGAATTCCACAGCCAGCAATGCTGGCTGTGGAATTCTGGGAGTTGAAGTCCACATGCCTTAAAATTGTCAAGGTTGAGAAACACTGGTCTAATGAATAATAATGATGATGATGATGATGATGATGATGATGATGATGATGATGATGATGATGATATCAAGCCCATTTTGGTCCGCCAACCCCTCTACATCTGTCACTATTCGGAATTGGAAAGGCCAACTCCGCATGCGCCAGAGAACGTACAAAACACGCGACGACTTCTTGGGACCCGACTGGCGGCCCGGAGTGAGGATAGCGCATGCGTAAATGCGCCGGAAGCCGTTAAGCCCGTGGATAAGTCTCTGGGTAACCCCGCGTGCGGCCCTTTTCTGCCTGAGCCAGCGAGCGGGACGCGGGGAGGTGAGGGGAGCGTCTCCGTGTGAGCTTTTACCTTCGCCAGGCTGAGAGGGCGGCGACGGGATCCTGTTTGGTCCGAGGGTGGGCATGAGGAGAGGCTCTGAGGGAAAGGCCTGGGGGTCGGTGGGCAGAATCCGTTGAGGAATGAGGCCGGGGAGCCCTCAGGAGCACGTGACCCGTGCGGAGAAATCTTTTAAGACACGGCGGCGTAACGTCACATTCAATTAAGGGATTAATCAAATCAAATGTAACATTAAAGCAATTCTGAGGCGTATTTTGTAGGCCGGTCGGCCCCCTATAACCCGGCACCCTTCCAATAATGCTGGGACTTGAATTAGTTCATGGCTCCAGCGTGGTCATGCTGACTGAAATGGGAGTTGTAGTCCCGATCCAGTATAGAGTGCATTATTATTATTATTATTATTATTATTATTATTATTATTATTATTATTATTATTATTATTATTATTATTATTATTATTATTATTATTATTAAATTAGATTTATATCCCGCCCTTCTCCTTGCGGACTCAGGGCGGCTGACAATCGATTAAAAATACATAAATAACAGTTACAGAATTAAAATTAATTAAAAAGAAATATTTAAACGTAGTCCAATTAAAATATAATTAAAACCCCTCTAAAAATTACCCTAGGCCAGTCCTGGAGAGGAATGGGGAGATTGGGCTTTAAATCTTTACTTGACCAGTGAACTTTTTTTGGGGGGGGGGGTAATCTTTGGCACCTCCTAATTTCTGAAATGAACTTCCCTGAAGGAGAAATGTTTTTAAGTTAAGGTGCTCCCAAGTATAGGCGTCTCCCGTTTTAAGAGAGAGAGAAGGACTATTGAGAGTGAAGAAGGTTGTAGTTCGTGAGATTTTTTCCCACTTACATTTCACTTTCAGCTTGTATGATTCTACACTGCTCTTCATTTTACTTATGGGTGTATTAGTATTTTATTACACAACCCTTCTGCCCCTTTATACCAGTGTTTGTCAACCTTGACCATTTTAAGGCATGTGGACTTCAACTCCCAGAATTCCACAGCCAGCAATGCTGGCTGTGGAATTCTGGGAGTTGAAGTCCACATGCCTTAAAATGGTCAAGGTTGAGAAACACTGCTTTATACAGTAGTACATTTTCCATTCTCCCCAACCCCCCCAGCCTTTTCTTCACATTTCTGCTCACCTGTCCCTCCAGCTAATTTATGTAAACAGCCTCCAAAATGTATAGAATGTGTATGCTCTTGGTAATTAGTATCAAGATTTAGATTATCTGAGTAAGTATACATTGAAAAGAGGGAAGGTAACAGTAATACATTTCTAAATAAAGCTTACAACTATAATCTTGAAATACGGGCATAATGGCACCTAACTGTTAAATGAATGAGCTTGTACTGCACCATGTTTTTCCAGGTACGTGGGAATTACAGCCCATTTGGATTCTTTCTGATAGCTTCGCTACATCGTTAGTATTGGTTAT